AGCCACTGTGCCCTGCCAATAGTCTGTTCTTTGCAGCCTAAAGCATCCTGACGAATACACTTCAGTTATAAAATTTATTGCTGGTAATGCCAGTGCATTTCCTGAAAACAACCTTGTTTGTATTGCAAAGATCAGATAGTAATTATTATAAGGAAAATTATAATCCACTGATTTGTGGTATGTTTTCAAGACAGAGTCTCACTCTGTCGCCCAGGCTAGAGTGCAGTGGCATGATTTTGGCTCACTGCAACCTCCACCTCCCAGCTTCAAGTGATTCTCCTGCCTCAGCTTCCTGAGTAGCTGGGATTACAGGTGCCCGCCACCATGCCCGGCTAATTTTTGTATTTTTAGTAGAGATGGGGTTTCATTATGTTGGCCAGGCTGGTCTCAAACTCCTGACCTCAAGTGATCCACTTGCCTTGGCCTCCTAAAGTGCTGAGATTACAGGCGTGAGCCACTGTGCCTGGCCAAGCATCAGTTCTTAAAACAGTTAAGGTGGCAGAACAGGAGTTCTTTTAGAATGACGATTTTCAATGTGGGTATTTCAACATCATAATAGTCATCTTCAGGTTCAATATAGCTTAGGACGGAAACTATCTTCTTCTTTCTTTCTTTTTTCTTTTTTTTTTTTTGGAAACGGAGTCTCACTCTGTCGCCCAGGCTGGAGTGCAATGTCATGATCTCAGCTCACTGCAACTCCGCCTCCCAGATTCAAGCAATTCTCCTGCCTCATCTTCCCAAGTAGCTGGAATTACAGGTGCCCGCCACCACGCCCGGCTAATTTTTTGTATTATTAGTAGACCCGGAGTTTCACCATGTTGACCAGGCTGATCTCGAACTCCTGTCCTCAGGTGATCCACCCGCCTCGGCCTCCCAAAGTGCTGGGATTCCAAGCATGAACCATCACACCCGGCCCTTATTTCTAACTTTATTTATTGATGAGTATGTATTCAATAGGTGATGGGGTTTCCTGTGGTACTGGAATATACAAAAAGATCCTATGAAATCTTGATATATTTAAATCTGTCATCCAAACTAGTAGCAATTTCCCTAGTAGAAAACTTGACTTTATTATACGTTCCCAGTATAAAGTCTCAGACAAATTACTCATGTCGAGAGAAAAAAAATTTTTTTTTTTGTCAAACCGATTGATAGATTTTCCATGAATGTTCAACAGTCAATAAATATTGCCTACCATGTGACAGGCTTTGTGCTGGATATTGGGAATATAGCAGTGAGACAATTTCCATCCCAAAGGAGCCCCCAGATTAGAAAGGAGAATGGCAAGTAACCAGGTAATTATAATTATAATATAGAATAATGATAATACAAAGGGAGAAGTAGTTCCATAGGGCCAAGTATGGGAGCTGTGAGAGCTCAGAGGAGTTCATTGATTCATCCATTCGACCCAATTGATTATTCAACATATTTATTGAGCATCTACAATGTGCCTGGGTACTGTGCTAGGAACAGGGAAAACAATAGAGGAAAGAAGGACATATCCCCTGCCCTCATGTTGCTTTGGGTCTAGTGGAGGAGAGAGACAGATACGCAATAATTATAACATGCTAATGCTATGAAAGGAGAGCATCCAGGAGGCACCAACCCACGTTGGGTCATGAGGAAAGGGTAGCCGAGATGAAATGGGAAGGATCCAAAGGTGGGGAAGAATGTTTCATACAGAGGAATGGTGCTGTGCACGGGGGCAAGAGGGACCATAGTGAAGGTCATTTTATTATTATTATTATTATTATTATTTGAGATGGAGTCTTGCTCTTTTGCCCAGGCTACAGTGCAGTGGTGCAACCTAGGCTCACTGCAACCTCTGCCTCCCAGGTTCAGGTGATTCTCCTGCCTCAGCCTCCCAAGTAGCTGGAATTACAGGCATGTGCCACCATGCCCGATTAAGTTTTGTATTTTTAGTAGAGACGGGTTTTCACCATCTTGGTGAGACTGGTCTCAAACTCCTGACCTCATGATTCACCCGCCTAGGCCTCCCAAAGTGCTGGGATTACAGGTGTGAGCCGCTGTGCCTGGCCTGTGAAGGTCATTTTAAATGGCTGGAGCAAAAAACTCGGGTGGAGTGGAGGTTGCAAGGGGGTAGAGAGAGAAGAGTTTGGCAAAAGATAATCAGTGACCAGATCCTGACAAATCTTGTAAGCCATGTTAAGGGGTTTGGTCTTTTTCTGGGGTTAATGGGCAAAGAGAATATTTAAGCAAAGGAACGAAGTGGTCAGATGTTCACTTTAGCAAGTCCCTGGGTGCCATGTAGAAAGTGGACTGTAGGTGAGATGCCAGAGGCAGGGGAGCAGTTAGGGGTCTCTTGATGTTCTCTTGCAGGTGCTGGCAATGATCCGTCCTCAGAACAGTGATGGAGAGACGTGGACTCATTGGAGAACCATGTGGGAGGCACAAGTAACATGGGGAACTCTGGAAACAAAGCAGTGTGGGGAGAAGGATACTGGTTTCTGACTTCAGCAACTAAGAAGATAGTAGAACACAAGACATTTGGGACTGGAGGTAGATCATCAGTTCCTTTTGGTGTATGCTGAACTTGACGGGGGGTCTGTGGGGCAGTCACAGGCAGATGTCTTTGAGGCAACCCTGCTGGAACTGGAGAGAAAGAGCTCAGTTGAAGTCAGAATGGAGGGGGCAGCCGGGCACGGTGGCTCACATCTGTAATCCCAGCACTTTGGGAGGCTGAGGTGAGTGGATCACCTGAGGTCAGGAGTTCGAGACCAACCTGGCCAGCATTGTGAAACCCCGTCTCTACTAAAAATATAAAAATTAGCCGGGCACAGTGGCTCACATCTGTAATCCCAGCACTTTGGGAGGCTGAGGTGAGTGGATCACCTGAGGTCAGGAGTTCGAGACCAACCTGGCCAGCATTGTGAAACCCCGTCTCTACTAAAAACACACAAAAAATTAGCCAGGTGCGGGTGTGTTGGCACACACCTGTAATCCCAGCTACTCAGGAGGCTGAGGCAGGAAAATCGCTTGAACCTGGAAGGGGGAGGTTGCAGTGAGCTGAGATTGTGCCACTACACTCCAGCGTGGGTGACAGAATGAGACTTGGTCTCAAAAAAAAAAGAATGGAGGGGCCCACTGAGCTCATGGACACTGGTGAGATCACTCGTGAGTGTTGGAGGCAGGTGGGCAGAGACACAGGGACAGAATCTGAAGAAGACTAGCATTGAAGAGATGCTTTAGAAAGAGTGGGTGACCCCAAAATGAGATGGAGACAGGAGGAGAACCAGGAGAGGGTGGCGTCCCAGAAACCAAGTAAGAGTCAACATTTGTCTCGTATTTCTTTTTAATTTTTGTCACAGGCATGGAGGGTTTACAGAACATTTGTAAGAAGCAAGCATGTGTTTGAAACACTCCAGTCCTTTGGCTTATTTCTGTTCTATAATTTGGGAAGAGTCCTCTCTTTGGCTATACCAGAGTCCCGTAAGGCCATAGTTAGAGAACTGCTGGCCTAACATAAGGAGGGTTTATTTATTTATTTATTCTTATTTTTTGAGATGGAGTTTCACTCTTGTTGCCCAGGCTAGAGTGCAATGGTGCATTCTTGGCTCACTACAACCTGCGCCTGTAGTCCCAGCTACTAGGGAGGCTGAGGCAGGAGAATGGCGTAAACGCGGGAGGCGGAGCTTGCAGTGAGCTGAGATCAGGCCACTGCACTCCAGCCTGGGTGACAGAGCAAGACTCCGTCTCAAAAAAAAAAAAAAAAAGAACACAGCCTCAAGCCCCTTCCTTCCAGATCACTGTCCCTGGGCACCTGGGAGGAGACAGAAGGTCCAGTATGATGTGCTGTAGCCAATGAGATGCCAGGGGCGTGGGCTGATGTCTTGTTAAACAACTGTCCTAATGGGGCCAACGAGGCCCGAGTCAGTTTTGTAGGCTCTTAGACCTCATCAGTTCCTTCCAGCTGATCTGTTAGAGCCCTAGGACTTGACTCATTCTCACTATACTCACAAGATCTGGTTTCTAAGCAACCTCTGGGAAATCTGGCAAATGAACAGGCTTGCAGAGAGAGCTCTGTGGACCTGGAAAGGCCTGAGAGTGACTCTCAGACAGAGCTTTCCCTCAAGAGATGGGAAAATGCGTTCCTCCTATTTTCAAGTTTTCTCCCTCAATCAACACTGGAACACTGGGGACCTGGCCTTCCTCCCTGGTTCTCTCTTTCTAGACTCTATGAAGGCTTCCACCTGGCTATTAATACCTCCTTGAGAGGCCGAGGAGGGTGGATCACCTGAGGTCAGGAGTTCAAGACCAACCTGACCAACATGGAGAAACCCCATTTCTACTAAAAATACAAAATTAGGCGTGGTGGCGCATGCCTGTAATCCCAGCTACTCGGGAGGCTGAGGCAGGAGAATCGGTTGAAATCGGGAGACAGAGGTTGCGGTGAGGCGAGATCGCGCCACTGCACTCCAGCCTGGGCGACAGAGCAAGACTCGGTCTCAAAAAAAAAAAAAAAAGAAAGAAAGAAAGAAAATGATGGACAGGGGATGTTAAGCCCCCTGAACTCTCATCTTGAATATGCCATTGGTACATGCCCCTTTTCTTTCCTGTTCCCTATGATTTTTCATGAGGGAAATCTGTTTTTCCTGTAGCACCCCCAACACACCTATTGCAAAATGATGCTTCTCGGTGTAAATCAGAAGGTAACTTTTGTTCTTTGTCCATTGTTTCAGTACAACTTGCAAAACTTCAGGGCAAAAACCTAGGGGAAAACTCAAATCTCTGTGGTCAAGTTGGCCTATGTCATATAAAGGCACTGGGGTTTTCTGGGTGTCTAGGTGGGGAGGGTTCACAAGAACAAAAGGTACTCCCTGCCCTTGCAAACTTGAGAGATGTGGTATGGGAGCCTGGGCACAAGAGCACTCAGCTGTAACTCACCCACGGCCTCACATTGCAGGAGGTGGGTGGGGTGAGAGGGTAAAGACCAGCATGCTTGGTGAGGGCCTTGCTGGGGATGGGAGCCTGGGAGGGTCTGCAACACCAAATGCAGAGATTTCAGATCACTCAGAACCATGCAAACCAAAGGGAATGAAGGGGGAAAGAGTGCCAAGAAATGAGTAGTTTCTCACAGGTGGGAGCCGTGGAGCCCCATGGTCCTTCCCGTGGAAACTTCCCTCAACGACGCAAGGCTGACCCCTCTAAGTCCTCAGAGCCGAGCACCCATGTCTGTCCTCTGGCTGCAGTCATCTGATTGCCGGGGTGCCTTCATCTAAGGTTTGGCAAGTGCTTTATCTTATAGAGCTTCATAAAATCACCACTGGCTTTCAGGGCCCAGAGACCTACTGAAGTTAACCATTCTTCATTGTTTTAAAATAAGTCGTGTGAACCCTCTTCAGTTTTGTCAAAAAGAAGAAATGGCTGTTTCAAAATGATGCTTTTCAGTATTTGCAGGGATTTCAACATCGTCATAGTCATCTTCAGGTTCAATGTAGCTTGGGATGGAAACAGTCTTCTTATTTTTAACTTTATTTACCAATGAGTATGTAGGTGGCGGCTGACTTGGGGTTTCCTGTGGGGCTAGAATACACAAAAAGATCCTTAGATGCAAAGCTATCATGTGTTTTTATATTTTTGACGCAGTGGCTCAGTGTGATTTTCACGTTTCAGTGATCTTCCCACTTCTAGTGGGCCAGATCCCCATTTTACAGAGGAAATTCAGATGCAGACCTGACACAGTCTCCGGATCACCCAAGTGAGTAAATGGAAAATATTAGTCAGACATCTTGACTCCTGTATCTTTGCCTAAGACTGCCCTGCATGGAAACCATGAAGCAAAAGCTTAGAAAAGAAACAGACCAGGTCAGGTGCAGGAGCTCACACCTGTAATCCCAGTACTCTGGGAGGCCGAGGTGGGAGGATCACTTGAGCCCAAGAGTTCCAGACCAGCTTGGGCAACACAGGGAGACCTCGTCTCTACAGAAAAATTTAAAAATTAGCTGGATGTGGTGGTGCACGCTTATACTCCCAGCTACTTGGGAGGCTGAGGCAAGAGGATCTCCTGAGCCCAGGAGGTTGAGGCTACAATGAGCCATGATCACACCACTGCACTTCAGTCTGGACAACGTAGTAAGACCCTGTCTCAAAAACAAACAAAAAAAAAGAATGGATGAAAAGAAACAGACCAGAGCCCAGTAGTCATGAGTGCTGTTGTGTTACAGATCCTAATTTTCACAAGGAAGTGAAATAAATCGTATTTCCTTTTTGGCACATCCCTTCCAGTGACTTACACTGTTTTCCAGGACTCTCCGTAATTGCTTATGTACAAATCTCTCTGCTAAGAAGAAAGGGGATGGCATTATTTTCAAAAGGTGGAATTAGTACAGAACAGGTCCATAGGAGGCCAGAGGTGGTGGCTCACGCCTGTAATCCCAGCACTTTGGGATGCTGAAGTGGGCGGATCACCTGAGGTCAGGAGTTCAAGACCAGCCTGGCCAACATGGTGAAACCCCGAATCTACAAAAATACAAAGATTAGCTGGGTGTGATGGTGGGTGCCTGTAATCCCAGCATCTCAGGAGGCTGAGACAGGAGAATTGCTTGAACCCAGGTGGTAGAGGTTGCAGTGAGCCATTATAGCATCACTGCACTCTAGCCTGGGCAACAGAATGAGGCTATGTCTCAAAAAAAAGAAAAGAAAAGAAAAACAAAAAAACAAAAAGAACAGGTCCATAAGTAATAGAAGGATGATGAAACAGCTTGAAACAGCTCAGCTCCATCTTTGATGGGGATAGGAACTGCCTCTCCCACAATCTCATCTTTTCCTAAGAAAACCTGAAATGCCACTATTTGCAGAACTCTGCAGTTTGACAGACCTGAGTTCATGTTCAGGTTCCAGCAGTCATTAGCTGTGTTACTATAGGTAAACCACTTATCTGTGCCTCAGCATCCTCATCTGTCAAAGGGGAATAAAAATGTACCTGACTTGGGCCAGGCACGGTGGCTCACGCCTGTAATCCCAGCACTTTGGGAGGCCGAGGTGGGTGGATCACCAGGTCAGGAGTTCGAGACCATCCTGGCTAACACAGTGAAACCCCGTCTCTACTAAAGATACAAAAAAAATTAGCCGGGCGTGGTGGTGGGCGCCTATAGTCCCAACTACTCAGGAGGCTGAGGCAGGAGAATGGCGTGAATGTGGGAGGCGGAGCTTGCAGTGAACCAAGATCACACCACTGCACTCCAGCCTGAGTGACAGAGCGAGACTCCGTCTCAAAAAAAAAGTACCTGGCTTGTAGAGTTGTTGTGAGGACTGAATGAGCTAATACCTGTAAAGTGCTTAGTGTGGGACCTGAAACATAGCGCATGCTCAGTAAATGGTAGCTAATATTGTTTATCTAGCCAATCAAAATATTTTTCTTAAGTATCAACTAAGCCTCACGCCCTGCTCTAGGTAGTGGATAAATATGAATAGTGGTGGACAAGAAAGGTTCCTGTTTTCCTGAAGTTTATACTCCAGTGGAGGAGATCAATAATACACAAATGAACAACAAATAAATAACACAATTTTGGATAACTGTCAGTTTCATAAAGGAAATTAGCAGGACTACTTTAGGTTGAGTGGTCAGAGAGGGCCTCTTTGAGGTGGTGACTTTTGAGCTGACATCTGAAGGATGAGGAAAATCCAGCTATGCAAAGAGCTTAAGGAAGAACATTCCAATCAAAGGAACCAGGCAGAGTTTTTCTGATAGGAAGTGAGAGGCCTAGTGACACCCCATGTTTCTTTCTGTTTATGTTCCAAGCTGGAATTTGAACATGAATTTACACATTTATATCAGGATATTGGGGGCGTTGGTACTTATTCTGCCCCCTTTTTTCTTTTTCTTTTTCTTTTTTTTTTTTTGAGACAGGGTCTCACTCTGTCATCCAGGCTGGTGTGCAGTGATTTGCTATCATAGCGCACTACAGACCTTCTAGGCTCAAGCGATCCCCCAACCCCAGCCTTCCAAGTAGCTGGGACTATAGGTGTGCACCATCACACTGGCTAATTTTTGTAAAGATAGGATTTTGCCATGTTGCCCAGGCTGCTCT